CTCTAGAATAAATGCCAATTCTTTTGATCTGTACAGAATTTTACTTATGAAGAAATTGAATACATGCTAAATTATTTCTTTTTATATCCAGCAGATTATTCATAAAGTAGAAAAAAGTCTATGGGGTTATGAAATATACCATTTTCTACAGTAAACAGCCTATTAATTTTCAATATTAAAAATAAATAACAGAAGGAAAGCTTTTTAGGTAGTTTCCCCTTTCCTGCAGTGGTGCTGTAATGCTCTAAGATTCCCAGTGGATGCCTGAATGTGAAACCCTATATATACTATGCTTTGTTATATACACATATACTTATGATAAAATTTAATTTATAAACTAGAAATAGTAAGGTAGTAAGATAACAACATTAATAATAAAACAGAATTATAACAGGATCTTGTAATAAAAGTTATGTGAATGTGATCTCTCAAAATATTGTATTGTATTCATCTTCTTGTGATGTGAAATGTCACAGCACCTGTGTGATAAGATAAAGTGAGGTAAATAACATAGGCATTGTGATGTAGCATTAGGCTACTACACATGATGCCCAAGCAATATATTTTATAACTGAGTTGGCTACCAAGTGACTAATGGGTGTGTAGTGTATATATAGTGGATGTGATAGACAAATAAATGATTCATGACCCATCCCTGGCAGACAGCACAACATGAGATGTTATCACAGTACTTAGAATGGCATGAAGCTGGAAAATTATGAGTTGTTTAATTCTGGAAATTTTTTACTTAATATTTTTAAACTCTGATTAATCCCAAGTTAAAAAAAAAGAAAGCAAAAGCATGGACAGGGGATATTATATTTCATTTTCAGGTGTTCCTTAGTCTACATTGTCTATCAATAAGTATAATTTCTTGTATCAGTTGTTTCCTTTCCTCTTAGAAAGTTGGGGAAAACAGATTATTTTAATAACATTATGGTAATATTCTTGCATCAAGTATCTTTGGATCTCCCCACCAGCTTTACTGTATTGCACTTGAATACATGTTCCTCCTGGGAAATAATACTTTTACATGTGCAATGGTTTATTACCTCTACCCTTCATTCTTTGCTTCAGGAGGAGGTGAATTTCTACTAATAATATACTGTGCTTTAAAATAAGCATTATGGTATGGAATGGTTTATGTGAAAATGCTTTGAGAAATTCTTTCTTTTTTTTCACCATAAAACATACTTATTGCATAATGATTAAGAGTAGGATTCTGCAGTTAGATTGTCTAGTTGTTGTTGTCTCATAGTCCTTTTGGCATACTTAAATAGGTAAGATATGTACATAGACACTCTTTTTAAGTGTTGGTTGCTCTTGTTATCATCACTAGCTTCTCTTTTCCACCACCATTATTGTTGTTGTTGTTTTGTAACTGTAATACAGGGATTCTGTGGTTTCTGCTTCTACAGAATGGAGCTTTTTAAAAAAGTACAGTTGAATATTTTTCCCCATTAAACATGATTCCAAACAATCACTTTTATTTTTATATTCAAGTATGTGCAAAATGGATCTGGTTTTTCTCTAGGCTGTTATATTCAAAGCTTTTTAATAACAGTATTTCAAATCCTGTGGATAATCAAACTTGATATAGAATAGGGTCTCTGCAGTATGTTTTATAGAACTAGTATGATAAATACTGAAATGAAATGATATGGAGCTATTTGGGCAAACAGTCTTATAATGTTAACATTAGGTTAGTAGAAAAGAAGAGAATAGTGAGAATAATAATGTGTCAGTGATCAAATGCAAGCTGGTCAGTGACACATAACCCAGAGGTCCTTGATCAAAAAAGCAGAATTTGAATCAACGAAACTGAGCATATATAACAGGAGCTTTCAGTGGGGCTCAATTGTTAGCCATCTTGCTGCTGAATAAATGAAAAGAGAAGTATTTTTATAGACACCCCTCACACAGCATCTTTTGTATTTGTTCAGTGCTTACGTGGTAGTTTGCACATCTGTATCTATTTCAGGTCCTTCTCACTGGTGGCAATGTGTCCAAAGGAAACAGTCTTAGTGTCCACTCTTCTTTTTTCATTTTGTGAGATCCTTCACAATGGAATGTTTATTCCTTTAGCAGTAAATAGGAGTCCAAAAATAGCCTTCCTTTTCCTCCCCTCCAATTCAGCAGCCAAATCTGTCTAGACAGCTGGATAACTGAAAAAGAAAATAGCTTAGGGATAACTTGCTAGTTGATCTTTTACCTGACCTGATACCTTTTGCACCTAAGTATATCAGTAGAAGTTTTTACCAGCAAAGAATAATGGGTTATTTTAATAGTTTAACTACATATGAATTATAAAAGTAGAACTGTTAATGTTTTAATTTCTTAATTTCTTTCTAGAGGCTGATGATGGAGTGGATAGAAGGGTATTATTTTTTTATATGCATGTGTGTAAGGGGTATTCGTATATTAGGTGGGCTCATAAAAGATGACTCTGTTTTCTTGTCTGTAAAACTAAACTTATTCTTGAAATTTCATTTTAAATAATGGTTCTTGTCCTGCCTTTCTTCACAAGAAAGTACTAATCAACAGCTTGACCATGTGTTTTTTTTTTTTTTTTGTGTAAGGCCTGTGATAGCACCTATAATGACCTGCACATGCACAGCTTTTAAAATATGTAAATACCAGGGCATTGTAGTCTGAATGTATATGGAATATTAAATTTTGAGTGGTAAAATTTTCTATAGGGGTTGTAATTTTACCTAAGTTTTGATCCACATGAAATTCTGTTTATTAAATTAAAAGAAGAATAATGCTTTTTATTTGTGAGAACTCTCCTTTCACAGTATGCTGTGGACTCTTTTTGGCACTGAAAAGACTAGAGCTCATTTCAGGTGTTTCAGTGGTTCACCTGTATAATTACTTCTTTGTTGAAGAATGAAAATTTAAGCCTTAGAGTATTCCTTTTAAACTCTTAGAATTTACTAAATCTCTTTCCTTAGCTTGTTTGCCCTGCTTCTGAAATTCTTATTGACTCCAGAGAGTGGCTCCTTTTTTTTTTCTTTCCAGTGGAATGAAACAGGTTCTTTTTTTAAAAAAAGTTTTTTTGTTGTAGGTGGACACAATACCTTTATATTTTTTTTTATTTATGTAGTGCTGAGGATTGAACCCAGGGCTTCACACATGCAAGACGAGTGCTCTACTGCTGAGCTCCAGCCCCAGCCCTGAAACAGGTTCTTAAAGAGCTTTTATTAAATTGATTAATGTAAGAAAGTATCTGAATATTGGATCCAGGGTTCTTTTGTAGTTTCTTTCTTGGCATGAGTTTATGTGTATGCTTATGTGCCTGAATACAGTTTATGAAAGTCCAGACTTACATTATATTTATTTACTGATTAATGAACAGTTTTTTACTTAAATCCTGATATGGGGCAGATACGAAGGTACAAAACAAGGTTTTAGGGGCAGAAACATGTCTACTCACAGAGACGTATAAAATAATTACATATGATCAGGACTTCACGCTATAGTACATGGAAGGATAGGGGTGTGTGTTGTGTGTATATGTTGTACGCATATGTATATATGTAATGGAGCACAAATAATGATCATGGCATTCTCATGGTAAAAGCAAGAAAGTCTTCCCAAAGGAGGTAACAGTTATGTTGCATTCTGAAAGCCATTTGAAGTACTAGTTCTAGTACTAGCTCTGATAGTATTCTCCTGCTTAATTTTTCTACTACATACTTCATTCATTCATTCTCTTTATTTCTTTCTTCGTTTGTTTTTTGTACTAGAATATAAGCTCTGTGAAGGCAGGGATTTGGGTGTGTTTTGATTATTTCTGTATCTTCAATGCCTGGAAGTATGTATGGCAGATAGCATGAACTGAAACATGTGTTGAGTAATTGAAATAATTTTGTGAGTTTTAGAGTAATGGAATTATTTTTAATTTTTCTTTAGTTATTCAGAATATTTCTGTAGGTCTGGGACTGCAGCTCAGTGGTAGAGTGAGTACTCTCCCTAGAATTTCTTCATTTTTTGCTTAATATTTTTCTTTCTGTGTACTCGAATCTCCCTAGTGATAGCATGCTATTTCCACAGTTTTTTTTCAAATACATCCCTTATTTTCTATATGTCTTATTCTCTTAGTTCCCATATCTCTTTTCTGAACTGATCCATTTTGCTATTCTTTTCCATGGCTGTATTTAAGTTCCTTTAAATTTCCCCTCCACAGCCATCAGAATTATCTAAATAAAATAGCCAGGCCATTTCTGTGCTTAGTAATCTCTAATGATTTCTAGCTTTCTACCATAAATTCTCCTTAGAAGGCATATAAACTCATCTGTTGCTTAGCTTCAGCTACATAACGGGGAACTCTCTTGCCATGTCACCATATAATAAAAATGGGTCTCTTTATTTTTCTTGGTGTTACTCGTGTCTGACATATAATAAAGAACTCAATAAGTTTTTTTAGTAAGTGAATGCATGTATGTATGAAGGAATGCATGACTACAATAAGAAATTTTACTGTAAATGTTGTTTTGATAAAGGATGATATAAAATCTAACAACACTAGCATTTAAGAACAGTTTTTCCTTTATGTAGCTGATTTGTCTTTCTTACTGTCTAGCTGTTCTATATTCTGTTCCCTATTATTTGTGAAGTAATCCTTCTTGACAGTTGTAGTGTCATTTTAGAAGTTAATCCCACTCTTGTGGCTTTCCTGTGCAATACCTGTCTGCACTTCTATCTCTTGTGTTGCATCTTTTCTCTCAGCTACCTTCTTTATTTTTTTAGGGATTTGTGTGTATATATATATATATGTATGTATGTATGTCCATATCTATGTGTGTGCTTTTTCTTTGTTCTGGATGTAAATTTTAGTCTTAAGGTTTTGCACGTTATTCTGAAAGTTTTAGGATTAAAAGATTTCCACAGAACACACATAGACAACCCTGATCTGTTTCTAACTTTCAATGATTTTTATAGTATGTATTTCCATTTTTCTTAATGTCTTTTTTTCTTTTTAATGTGAATGCATACAGATTGAAAATCTTCAAGAGCAACTTAGAGATAAGGAAAAGCAGATGAGCAGCTTGAAAGAACGAGTCAAATCCTTGCAGGCTGACACCACCAACACTGACACTGCCCTTACGACTTTGGAGGAGGCCCTTGCAGAGAAAGTGAGTCTTGAAGATAAAGTGAAGGGTCTGGACACTTCACAGTCATGTTTCTCTTGATTTCTCATTAATTGAAAACTGCTTGTAGAATACAGAAGAGATCCTTTTTAGCAAAAGGAAAAAGAACTCTACTGTACTGTTGCCAATATACTTAGTGTAAAGGGGAAAGCAAATCCATTTAGTTCTTGTCAATTTAAGCACCTGCTCCCAGGCAAGACGGATTCCATGCTAAAGGGCACTGACTGATTTTTCTAAAGAATGAGCCTTATGATCCCCATTTGCTGCTTTCTGAAGAAAAAGAAAATTTCTTTTTATTAATATGGTCAACTAGAATGTGGGAATGTGAGACATTACCAGACATTAACTATATCAGGAGGCAATACATAGTCTTCCTCCTTTACTGTTTACTTTGTTGCCTAATATTTTCATAGATTTTATTCATTAATATAATGTTCTTATTAATTTTCTAGTCTGGACCTTCCTACTTTATACTGCTTTATAAGTAAACGTTATTTTTCATAAATGGTTGACTAAAGAACTAGCCTATTCTGGCCAGTGTTAATGTATTTTTTGGGCAGTGGGTGGTATTGAGGATTGAACCTTAGGGGTGCCTTACCACTGAGCTACATTCCCAGTCCATTTTCATTTTTTGAGACAGGGTCTCACTAAGTTGCATAGGGTCTCATTAAGGCTGGCTTCGAACTTGGAGTCCTCCCTAACTTGCTGGGATTTTAAGTTGCTTCTGGCTGGCCAATGTTAATGTCTTAGAAGGTGGTTTGGATAATCTCTATGCAAATTTTAATTGGATTATTTTAAAGAGGCAGGGTCACTGTTCCTTAAGTCTCCTGGACTCAGAAGGCTTCAGGATAACATGCTAGGATCAAGCCTTCCTCCCTTAATATACTTAGAAATATCACTTGGAAATGTACTTAACATTGCTCAACTTTGTAACTTCCTGAGCATCTGTTGACAGACATAATTTTAAATAATTTTTCTTTTCTTTACCCTCCTGTATACTTTAGGCTCAACATTTCATAGTCTCTTCCCTTCCCTTTTCTTGATGTGTGAATTGTGATTTCCATTGACTTATAGTCAATGTGTGAATTATAAAAAAGAAATATTAGTTTTTGTCCCATGGGTGAGTATGGAAATTTTTAGTTATTTGGGAATTGAATTTAAATGGGAATATTTCAAGAGACTATATTGGTGATATCTGAATATTTGAAATTATAGGAAAAGAAAACTTGGAAGTCAAAAAAAGCAAAGCCGGAGCTTTGTTATGACAATATAGGAAGGAAGGATAAATTTTTAAAAAGTGAATTGTTAAAAAATTTACCAGTCTTTTGAACAGAGGATAGAAGTGTCACTTTATCAGCTAAAAGTAGAGTTATAGTCATATTAAGCACAGAAAGGAATTTCCTCATGTGTTGATGTGTTTTGTCTTCAGGAGCGAACAATTGAACGCTTAAAGGAACAGCGGGACAGAGATGAGCGAGAGAAGCAAGAGGAAATTGATAACTACAAAAAAGATCTTAAAGACTTGAAAGAAAAAGTCAGCCTGTTGCAAGGCGACCTCTCAGAGAAAGAGGTTAGTTAAAATCACTAAAATGGAATTATTTGGTTTGCTTAGTTATTGCATTGTTGTATGTATGTGTAGTTGTTTATGTTTTATATTTGAAGAGTATTTGATGGAAGATTTTAATATTCTTACAGCAGGCTTTTTGTGAATGACTCAAAGGATATTTCAGGAGTTTTGCAAAGACATAATAAAATTGGTTTATTTATTCCCTAAGTTTTGCTCTCTCTTTCATCATGTTTTGTGATGGTTTCTTACTTGTTAATGGTATTTTTATATAGTCTAAAATAACTAAAACCTGTTACATGTCATAAAACAATAATGAAAGAGCTTTAGGGTCTCTCTGAATTTTCTTTCCAATACCTTTAGGAAAATTTGTGGAAGTGAGTTCCTAATAGAATATTTCCTTTAGAAGGAAAAAAATGTTTTATCTTTAAGTTTATGAAGCTATTAAAGTTGACTCCTTATATTCACAAAGCTTGATCTACTTTTGTTTTGTGGGTAAGAGTATGTATAGTTAGAACTCAAAGTCACTGTTCTTAGAAATCCATCTTATTTTAATTAATACATGAAAGCTAAAGCTAATATTGTTTTATAGTTCATGAATGTTCTTGAAATGGAAAGAAACTGCAAGCCACCATGATAGTAAATTTCAGATTTTCAATCTGCATATTTATTCTAGGTTTTCTTGCTTCTTTTAGGCTTCACTCTTGGATCTGAAAGAGCATGCTTCTTCCCTGGCTTCCTCAGGCCTGAAAAAGGACTCAAGACTCAAGACACTGGAGATTGCTCTGGAGCAGAAGAAGGAGGAATGTTTGAAAATGGAATCGCAGCTGAAAAAGGTTAACAAAAAGTTTCCCATTTTCTTACTTTGTTTTAATTAAAAGCACAGTAGGTAAGTCTAGGTTGTTTATATGGAATAATTTACAAGTGGAATAATAAACCCCCAAAGTTTGAAATGGTAATTTGTGTCTTGTTTGATTTTTTTTTTTTTTTTAGTGTTCTTAGCCTACTTTATTTTATTCATTAGAACCCCAATCACTTAGAGAATTTATAGTTTAGAGGAAGATTAAAATATATACCTCCCTTATTGATGACATTTGAGACTATGATGTAAAAATCTCAATTCTGTGATATTTTCCTCCATTAGAATTAAACTTCCTGAAAGGAGATAATGTAACAGTGGTACTTAAACACAATGAAAATGTTAGGAATGGTGTAGATATTTATCATTTATTTCTTTGCTTTATACTTCTGTAATATTTAAGTAGCAATTCATAGTTTTCAGAGCCCTTTCGATTTTTAAATCTCTTACCTATCTAACTTTATGAGAATTGAAACTTAGACTTCTGAGCAATTACATTAACTGAATTTAATTCATTGACTGATGAATGAAGGGTGGAGCTTAGTCTTGAGACTTCTACTTTTGCTCTTTTTCCATAGACTAACATGTTATCTTCATTTAGGAAATCATGTTCTGAGGCTAAGGAAAGGAAGAAAATCCAGTAGCTTAAAGTTACTTTCGAATTGTGTGGGGAAAGTCCTTTATTTGAGATTAAGGATTCCAATTATAACCAATTTAGATTTGACAGTTGTATTTTTTTTACAAGTCCGTAGAATATATTTAATAAACTATACATGTACATAAATGTGCAAGTATCTTAAGGCTGTAATAAACAAAAATCATAAAACCATTTATGGCTTACATTCTCCATTTTGCTATATAATGGCAACAGCTGTATTTTGACATTAAAAGGTTGGAGGTAATTTTCCATTTGAAGTTGTTAAATGTATTTAGGGTTGTAAAACAGAAGGCACTTCCAGGAATAATGTTATGAACATTCTAAACTTGTTTGTTTGTGACAGTATTACATTTTCTTTCTATTTGTTATATTTGAGACCATAGTTCATCATTTATGGTCTCTTTTATGTTAGGCTTTTTATCTATATTTATGAGAAAATATATAATTGGGAAGAGGAGATTGGTGGCTTTCTCTTTCTCTGATTTATTACTTCTATCCATGTCTGTTTTTCTTCTAAAATATTCCTATGTTTTATTTTAAGCAATTATTTATTTTCATTTTAAAAAATTGTGCTGTATATGTATAATAGTAATTGAAATGCATTCTGCTGTCATTTATTAATTTAAAAAATTTAAAAAAGGAAATTGGGAACTATATCACATATTATTTCCAAATTCTAGAATATTAATTTTACCAGTGTTCAGCATGACAGGCATGGGACATGGGATGGAACATTGTCCCATTTTACAGAATATCTTAGGATAGCCATTTATTTATAAATATGTGACTTATTTGCATATTTGACTGATATTTTATATGGAGGGTAGAAGACAAATGATATTAGATAATGATTATTCATCACAGTCCTTGTTTTCTGCAGCAGGAAGCCTGGAATGTGTTGTAGATCCCATTGTCAGCAGGATTCCAGTTTCAGATTTTCATAAAAGAAAGGTTTTTTATATGTTTTGTACGGTAGAAGAGAATAACATGTTGTGATTGTCTGAATTACTCATACTCATAATGTCCAGTAATGTCTTGGAAAGAACTCCCTTTTTTGCTGAGGAAACTGAAATCATCATCAGAGTTGTGGTGTGATCTCTGTTTTCTGGTTTCCTGTATACTAGCAGCAGCTTTTTTGACCTTCATCCTTATAATGAGTTTTATTTTATCTATAAAAATATGCTTTTCTTAAAATGCCTTGAATAATTTATTTTCCTGGTAAAATCTAACTAATAAAATTATGCAAATTATTTTCTAGAAATAATTCTGAAATAATTATGTTTAGTCATTTGATTTCTTCTTTTCCTATAAAAAGTTATTAAAAGAAACCTTATTTAGTTATTTCAATAAAAAAGTTCGTTACTGATATTTCCCTATTACATTATTTACTCAGTACAGTACTCTAATCCCAGAAAGCAGTTGTTAATTATACTTTTCCAAGCTTTGGTCTTTGTGGTCTCTGGTTCCCCTCCTGCCCCTCCCTCCTGCCCCCCCTCCTGCCCCCTGCTATCTTTGTGATAATATAGCCAAACCCCTCCCTCTCCAACCCATGCTAGGGATTCAACCCAAAGCTTCAAGTGCTCACACCTCTACCCCCATTCTCTAGTTTTAACTGAGTATTTATGTGATTCTATTTTTTCTCCTTTCTTAACATATAAATTATACTTATTAAAAATTTCTTAAAATTGTTGTCCTGGTGTTTGCAACATAATTTTAGCTAGTGTAAAGTACTCTGTCATTGCTATCCTACTTCATTTGCAGTACAGGTATCTTAAATAGAATATTCATAATTTCTTCTTCTTTTCCCTTATTATATTGTTACCATTCATTTCATTTATCTGTAGGCTCTAATCACCAGACATTTTTACTATTACTTTAAATAGTTATCTTTTAGATCATTTAAGAAACATAAAAGATGCAATTTTCGTTTCACTTACTTGTTGTCCAGTTTTTTCCTTTCTTTGTGTATACTGTGTCTGAGTTTCTGACCTCTTTCATTTTCCTTTCTCTGAAGAACAACTTTTAATTTCTTGCAGCACATGGCATCTGACAGTGAATTCCTCAATTTTTGTTTTTCTCCTTTTCTTTGGAAGAGTAATTACAGTGTATCTAGATTTCTAGAATGGCGTTTCTCCCTTCCAACACTTTTAAATACTTTACCTCTTTTCTTCCTGATGTGGTTTCTTTGTGGTATAACATATGGTCTATTTTGGAGAAGGATCCATGTGCTGCTGGGGAAAAAAAAAGTGTATTCACTCGTTGATGGAATATTCCATACATATCTGTTAAGTATAAATTATTGATTATTTTATTGGGTTCTATAGTTTCTTTGTTTAGTTTTTGTTTAGAAGGTCTATCCAGTGGTGAGAGAGGTGTGTTAAAGTCACCCAGTGTTGTGTTGTGGTCTATTTGATTTTTGAAGTTAAGAACACTTTGTTTGATATACATAGACATTCCATTGTTTGGGGCATAGATATTTATGATTGTTATGTCTTGTTGATGTATGGTTTCTTTGAGTAGTATGAAATGTCCTCCTTTATCCTTTTCACTGACTTTGAAGTCCTCTTTATCTGATAAATGAGGATAGAAACCCCAGCTTATTTGCATGGTCCATGTGAGTGATACATTTTTTCCCATCCTTTCACCTTTCACGGGCTCGTGGATGTCTTTTCCTGTGAGATGAATCTCTTGAAGGCAGCATTTGTTGGGTCTTTTTGTAAAATCCAGTTCTGCCAGTCTGTGTCTTTTAATTGATGAGCTTAGGCCATTCACATTCAGGGTTATTATTTGAATATGTTTTGTATTCCTGGTCATTTTGTTTTATTTTTGGTTTTAATTTGACATTGTTTATCCTTTGATTGGCCTTTCCATTAGTATAGTTCCTCCCTTTGCAGATTTTCATCGTTGTTTCATTTTTTCTTCATGGAATATTTTGCCAAGAATGTTCTGTAGTACAGCTTTCCTATTGTAAATTCTTTTAACTTTTGTTTATCATGGAAGGTTTTTATTTTGTCATCAGCCCTGAAGCTTAATTTTGTTGGATATAAGATTCTTGGTTGGCATCCATTTTCTTTCAGAGCTTGGTATGTTATTCTAGGATTTCCTGGCCTTGAGGATTTGGGTTGAAAAATCTGCTGAGATCCAAATTTGTCTCACCTATATGTAATCTGATTCTTCTGTCTTGCGGCTTTAAAATTCTACCCTTATTCTGTATGCTAGTCATTTTCATTATAATGTGCTTTGGTGTAGATCTGTTATTATTTTGTACATTTGGTGTCCTCTTGTATTTGATTTTCCAATTTATTCTTCACATTTGGGAAATTTTCTGATATTATTTCATTGAAGAGATTGTACATTTTTTTCCTCTATCCCAATAAATCTAATATTCGGTCTTTTGATATTTTCCCATAATTCTTGGATGTTCTGTTCATGATTTCTTACTATCTTCATTGTGTGGTAAACTTGATTTTCAAGATTGAACATTTTGTCTTCATTGTCTGAGCTTCTGTCTTTCTTTTATTTTTTTATTTTTTATTTATTTTATTTTATTATTGGTCGTTCAAAACATTACATAGTTCTTAATACATCATATTACACGGTTTGATTCAAGTGGGTTATGAACTCCCACTTTTACCCTGTATACAGATTGCTGTATCACATCAGTTACCCTTCCATTGATTGACATA